TCAACCATTCATAATAGTTATAGTCTGGAGCATCTTTTTGCCTATCTTTTAATCTCAAAATGGGATGATTAGAGTCATTAACCTTGGGTATTGTCACCAAGTTGCCGCACCCTTTTACGTGGGATAGAAACCAAATTTGTAGAAGTTCAGGGGGAGTGTGAAATGTTTTGTCACCGTTATGCTTATATTTAGTAAGAGAAATGAAAGTTTCGGCTAAAACGGTGTTGACGAAATTCTTTTCGGTGCAAACATGTTGAACGAGCCATGCAATGGACGAGTTACAAGCATTCTTGCAATGGAGAAAAATCACGAACCCAAAGAAAGCTAGTAAAAAGATTTTACCCTTTTGAAAAGACGCGGCTGTGTCAAAACATTGACTTAAAAATGAAAAAGGACATGTTCCACGATTTGCTTTCAAAATTTTTCTCACTTCATCCTCTTTGATACTCAAAAATTCCGACAAGGAGACTATGGGGTCGATTTTTATGGGTGAAGTAATTAATTCCGAGTCCAAAGATTTTCCAATGACTATACTATATTCTTCCAAAGTCGGAGTAAGCTCATGCTCACCAAATATAAAGGTAGTCGTCTCCGAACACCAGAAATGCGCCAGTGCTCAAACAAGGCCGGTACGAAGTTTGACTTCCAATAAGGGGAGCAATCTCCCTATCTTGGCTTTCACAAACATACGGTTGGTCGGACTAAGTTTGTTCCATCAAATGCTAAGCTCGTCTTTAGGAGCAATGATGATCCGGATGTCAGCTCTTCCCATAGTATATATGGATCAAGACTCATGATTAATGCCATGGACCAACCAAAAAAATACAGAAAGATAAGTAAATTGCAAAGTAAAGGTTCAGAAGACTTATTTCACCTAGTAGGACTGGCAATCACATAGACATAAGCATGAGACGTGAGGTTAGATTTCTACTCTAGACTGGCTTGCAAAGTGGAGTCTCGAGGATTACCAGACTAAACCAACATGGTCGTGGTTTGGGGAATCGGCTTAGTCAAAGAGCCGACCCTGTTGCATAGTTGCAACCGGGGTGGTAACTCAATGACACCGGGAAAGAAAATTTTCAGGACTGAGGAGGGCGACCCATACTACGTGATTATAGCCGTGGTATCCACTATCTCGATACCATCCTAAACCTGTACTACCTAGGTTCGACAACGGGTAATGTGTGCAGTGTAGTGTATGCAAATAACATGCACATCAGGTTTAATCAAACAGCGCTTCGTACTGAAAATAAACCATTCATTCTACACCTCCCCTGCAAGATAAAGGTTAGCAACCACGACTTCCCTTATACCTCTCATTCTACAAAAACATTTAACACCTTAAACATTAAGGACGTACCTAGAATCCTCGCTACCAAACAAAAATATTTTTTTGAAAAGAAAAATTAGCCTAAGTCCACTAAGAATTTTCAAGTCCCCAGCGGAGTCGCCAAGCTATCTCGACCTTACCTCCTGCAGGTATGGATCACCTAAGGGTTCGTCTAATGGATTATTAAGTCTAAGCTTAACTCGGGCCCTCTCAAGCCCTATTAATTCGCGACTTATGGTTCAAGTTATTAACATGCAAATGATTTTCATTTCAGAGTCACCACTAATCTATTTATGGTGGGTTGATTAGAAACACAAATAAAGTATAGGGAGATATACTTTATTCCTACGAACCAGAGATTATGAGTGCAAGGACTTGGTTACGCTAGATTACTCTAACGCTCTTTCGGTACCTTTTCTTTTCATGAAAATGTTTGAGCAGGTAGTCTGGATCCATTTTATTACTTCCTAATACGTGGGGTGATAATGCGGGTGTGCAAACCACCAAATTAACACCCAATAATGAAAGCAATAAATAAATTACTAAATAGGAAGAATGACGTACCTCGAAGCAACGTATGTATCTGCATTATTAGATAAAAAATCATTTTGACAATCCTAATATGATTTCTAATTAACAAGCAATTCATTCAATGTATGTTTTTTTTTATTTTCACTTGATTAAATGAAAACTAGCTTACTTCCCATGACGCACAAAGTATGACATGCGATTAGTTAAACCTAGGATGCGAATTACATGACATGCGATTAAATGACCTAATTCTAATGACGGGCAAATGACATATTTTTGGTGTTTTTCAATGAAAATTCAGAATTAAAAAAAATTCCTAAATTAACATACAATCTATTCTAGAAAAGATAATTTAACCTATCCTAAAGTGACTTCTTTTTGGTATTTTTTATGAAAATTCGAAATTAGAAATAACCTTAAATAAACCATCAAGATTAGGATAATATCTAACCTAAACTAGGAAATAAATTACTTTAAATCCTAATTTAAATTGGAAAATTATCCTATCTTTCTAGCAAATCTAGGTTATCCTATTCTATTCAAACGAAGTTATTTAAACCTATCCTAAATATGCATTCTTATCTTAAAAAATTGATTCAAATCCTAACTTATCTTTTTGGGATTTTCTTCTAAAGGAAACAAGATCAAACAAATAGATAACCACCACGGTCGAAATCAATCCACGCAAGATTTGTTTTATCGTCTTTGAATTAGGAAAATGATATAAACTAGCGATCATATCCATATAGTTATGGATATTGATGAAAGGTTATTCGTTTAAATTTGGGAACAAATAAAATCTATTATTGTATCCTAATGGTTATGAATAGAATAACGATTTTCCGTGCTACGGAGTATCGTATCTCATGGTTGAGATCAGATAGTCGTTCAAGCACGTTATTAAGTTGGGAATTTCCCAACTTATGGTTTCTTTTGAAAACCTTGCGGATATGCCATGCATTACCTAAATATATCTAAAGATTCACAAAAGATAACATATCATCCAAATCGAGATAATATTTAAACCAGTATTGGATAATACTCTTACTTAATTTGTGGATATCTTCCAAATTCGAACTTAGCTTCGAGCCGGGATCACGGAACGCGTGGTGGGCGACGGCGGTGGATCGGCGACGGCGATGGCGGTGGTGCTTGCGGTGGTGCTCCGCTCACTCTGCAAAACAAAAACACCTGCCCCAACGGTGGAGGGATGCTACGGCCACGGCTGCGATGGAGAACACCGGGATGGACGAGGGGCGATGCCATGTGGTTAGCTCGCATTCAACCAAGTACTGTAGCAATGGGATTTGTTGGGACAACGCCGGACAACGACAGGGATAGCGGCGACGAGGATCACAGCTCACAGCCACAGGTCTGGCTGTGAAGGAGGCGGCGGCGACTAAAGACGGCGGCAGAATCGCCAGGGCAGCGGCTCTCATCGTCTATGGCAACATTTGTGAGGCACTGAAACAGTGACGGCACAACTCGGGGCATCGGGTTTAGGTCGGTCAGACAGGTGGCGAACGCCAACGGGTGGCTCAGCAGCAGCGGGAGCTCGCGGTCACACTGCCTAGTAGCAACGACAGAAATGGTGGCGCAGCAGGGGCTCACAGCTACAAGTCTGGCCGCAAGGAGGGAGCAGTGGCATCGGTGATGGTGGAGTGTGTGTGGCTCGTCGCGGGGCAGCAACAGCAGCAAGAGGAAGTAGTGACAGTGGGCTCGTCATCGACCAGGAAGCAGCAGCAGTGGTAGCCACGGTATGAGTAGCAACGGGCCAAGCACCGCGGCAAAAACGCGGGCACGGGCATGGGCACGAGCACGGGTGCGGCCTCATAGCCGCGGGTTTGGCCGGGAGGAGGCGGGGCTGCGACAGTGGCGACCGGGGGCGCGGCGACCGACGACCAACGATCGGTCGGCGGCGACCGGTGACTGGTGACCCTTGCCGGATTCCCAGAAAAAAAAAAAGGGAAAAGAAAGAAAAAGGAAAAAAAATTAAGAAATCAAAAAATTAAAAGAATTGAAAAGAATGACTTATCTATTAATGACCTGCTTAAACTTATTGAATAACTAACCTATTTATGACACATTTAAAATCCATTTGAGACCTATTTAAGTTGTGAAGTGGTATGCCCACTTAAATTTGTCTTTAAAACTTAAGGCAACCCATCTATGATGACCAATATTATTAGAAATGGGTTAAAAATATGGGTTCCAGACCCATTTGGCCACATTTAGCTTGGATATCAATCCCAAGAGCACGGACAAAGGAAATACGAAGAGTGTGTTTGGTTCAGCATTCCCAAAAAGCTTTTGGGGAATGTAAATATCTTTAACTTAAAGCCCCTTAGGGAAATGCAAATTGCGTTTAGTAAAAAATCCTTTATGAAGCTACTTTCGCCCAAGTACTATTTGGAAAATCTTATTTTGCAAAGGGCTTTGGGAATTTTTTTATTAAAAAAAAAGCTTACCCTTCACCGGAGCCAACGATAGGCAACAGCTGCCGGTGCCAGATTTGGCTCGCCAATGGCCGTAGCCCATCACGCAACCCAGGCAAGAAAGGCCTAAGGCCATGTGACCCAGCGATCGATCGCTTAGGGTTGGCCGTTGCTGGGATCGGATGAGCTCGCCGGCCTCTTGCCGGCGCTTCGCTATCCCGATTTGGCCTCGGGCGGCTCTAGCCGGCCGCCCTCAGCCCAAAGAAGGTGAACAGTCATGAGAAACAAAATTGGAATATTGAAGAATTAATGAGGGTAGTTGGGGAAGAAAATAAATTGGTTTCAGCATTAAGCAAATGCTAAAAGCTCAAAACTGGTCCGGACCAACTTTGGACTTTCAGCATTCCCAATGTTAGCTTTTGGCCGAAAGCTCATTGAAAATGCTTGCCAAACGTCTCAGCATTTCCCTAAGGGGCTTTCGAGGTCGAAAGCCCATTGGGAATGCTGAACCAAATGCATCCTAAATGTACCGCAGGTGCACCGATAAAGTGACAGACCAATAATGGAAAGGAACCAAGCAACAGCATACGAATTTAAAGGGCCATGGGCCGTATTACTACTAGAATTTGTTCGGCCCGGCCCGGCCCGATAGAAATCTCCAGGAGAGGCCGAAGACGGAGCACGGACGCACTCTGCAGAATCGACGGCGTCTTCTTCTTCCTCCTGCAAAAGCAGAGAGCTTCGGCGACGCAGCGGCAACAATGGCGGTGAGGCAGAGGCTGCCCGACCTCATCCGCAGCCTGAAGCGCGAGCTGAACCCGAGGCCCTCGAACCAACAGCTCCTCCCCTCGCTCCGGCGCGCCTTCTCCCTCTACGACCAGATTAACCTCATCGACAACGTCCCCGAGGACCAGCTCCGGTTCCAACAGTCCGTCTCCCTCTAGCCCTCCGAGCTAATTTTCCGTTTTTTTTCTTTTTTTTGGGTGATTTTTCGTGGGCTGGAGGTTTTCTCATCTGGGTCATTCTGGGCTGTCTTTTTATGGCTCGCTCTTCGCGAGATTCGCAGGTACACGGAAACGGGTTTCAAGGTGAATGGAGTGATGTACGAGGGGAGCTTGCTTTGCGTGGGGAATCTGCTGATGTCTTGGAGCCCACAGAAGTTCTCCGACATAACTCCCGACAGGCAAATTGCTCATCTTCTCTCTCCCTATCTTTTGTCTTTGAAATTAACAAACGCCGCACCTATGATCAAGAAAACAGGGAGGCTGGGTTGGAGCCTGAATTTTGATGGGAAAATTGAAGGGTCGTGACCGATACTGTGATGAATTGCCTCTACCTTTTTGTGCATGGCTAATTGCATCTGTTAGTGAAGGGGATGCGTTCTTTTACCATTGGTATGGGTTCGCATGAAAATAGTGCATCAAAGTACCAAGCCCGAAACAACATCATCCATGACTGCAAGATTGAATATGTACTTAGTCAAAGCAGTGATCATATAAGTTTAATAGCGTGGTTATTGTCCCTCGGAAGAATTGTAGAATAGTTGGAGTTGTTGGGGGACATGGTTGAGTGGCTGGAAGGAAGTTTCCAAAATATTAGCCCTGCTATGTCAAGGCCACTCTGCTATGGAAGCCAAAAAAGTTATTGTATTAGTGACACTAACATTTATATCTGGAATGAGTTGTGAATGGAATTTGCTACTGCCTTGACTTGACAATTGGCAGGATACTGCCTGAACTTGACAATGGAACGGATACTGCCTTAACTTGACATTGGACAGGATAGTGCGTATTAGAGCTGGATTTGACTCTTGGGAGGTCCTTGAACATTATGGGGGCAGTTCTTGGATTTGACTCTTGGGAGTTCCTTGAACATTTACTTGATGATTTAGGAGATGTGTTACCTTAGATATTCTCGAGTATTAGAGCTGGGCGTATATGAAGTTCTTTTTAACTTTTTCCATAGCTAGCACTATAATTCTTTCAGGTTTTGACTTCTATTTTACCTTGCGTGCTTTTCTTCTCTTCTGCAGCTTGTCCATCTTCCAGACTGTTCGACCCATACCAGGTGAGAATCTGTGCACTATGTGTGATCCTATCTGTAGAATTGGCGTGCATGTTTTTCCTTACAATTGTAACTTCTTTATTTGGTAGAAGTACGTGTGGACTATTCTTTTTCCCCCCTACAACTAAGCTTTTAGAAGAGCACCAAGAGGTGGCTCCCATAAAAACCCCATGCGTTAGAAAAGATCTAAAAATAATTGTAGAAAAGACTGAGTGTCTGACGACAAGTAGACGTGGACTATGAACTGCCTACAGTTTAAGGTTCATCAACTTAATTTTGTGGAAATTGCTTTTTTCCAACATTCAACTGCAACGTTGGTAGCATGAGTTCATTCATTGGCCATTTAAATCTGTCGGATAGTAGAGGTATTCTGCATCTGTATCTTAGCTGGGTGCTACATTGCATCTAATCACATGAAGGGAGTGCCTGTTGTACTCTTTATGCTTTTAGGCATGTAGTATGGAATTAATTGCTGAAAGACGTACTTTTCATATAAACTGGGCACTCCATTGGGGGAATTCTATCTATGTTTTTAATAGATATCTTGTGGGCATCTTCTTGTGTCATCACATTATATGACTGTATCATCATTGTATTCTGAATCTGAGTATTGTTTGTAATATATTTCAGAGATTCTGATCCTTGGCTGTGGGAGGCACATACAACCCATTGATCCCGATCTTCGGCGTTTCATTCGGTCTACTGGCATGAAGTTGGAAGCTCTTGACTCGGTACACCACTTTATTTGTGTTCATCTTCTAGGTCACTTCACACATTTATCTAGCTAATAACAGGAACTTATTCTCCATTATTTCTCATCTTTACTTAAAAACTGCAGCCAAATTCTCTAATGTTGTTCAGGGTTGTGATTAAGATTATAAAAGGATTATTTTTTCTTTATTATTATTGATGACTCTGTCGATGAAGTTGGAGAAGAAACTTGTTCTAGGGTGTGTTTTTTAATGAAAAATACATTGAAGGAAATGGTTTTACCCGAAATTTATTTTAAGGAAAGTGATTGATTTTCTCTTATTTGGTTATGAGCATGTAAATGAGAGGGAATTAGTTTTCCAGTGTTCGAATAATTTATGGCAAGAAAAAACATCCATAAAGTTATGGTAAAAGCAGCGTAGATCAAGTTGAGAGAGAGAGAGAGAGAGAGAGAGTAGTGCTAATTGGTGCTGCATTGGCAGCACGATAGTGGTGTCTTCGGGGAAATTCATTTCCCTTTTACAGGAGGGAAATTCATGTTTCAAAGTTTTAGGCTGCCAATTGGTGTCCAAACTAGTAAAAGTCTGAAAACATTTTCCGTCATTAGATAATTTGCTGTCTATAGCCAATTTTCGATGAGCTACTTCACAATGACTTTGGATGTTTGGTGTGGCTGAGGCTTTTGGCCAGGCTTTACATGTGAGTTTTGGCTTTTGTCTAAAGCTGTGGTGATCTGACTTTTAACTTGTAATAAGCTATGACTTGGTCACTAATCTCAGTAGTGAACCTCTCAAATCCTAGGGATTTATTCTCTTTTATAGTTCACAGTATTTGAAAAACTTTTTTGACTGAAAGCCTTCAGCTGAAAGCCAGTAGTTTGTTAACCCAGCTTCAGGCATTTCTTTTGGTGTGACATCCTCGTCAACATTGTAGGAGCGTTCCCACACTTGGACCTGTCACAAGTGCTAGTTCATTCAACATCACCTGGTGAAGGCTTGCCTGACCCAATTATAGTGGAAGGGAGTCAAAACCTTGCCTCTTGATAAAGGAATACAACCCTCTGACCATCCCACTATTTGCTTCCCTGGTCCAAAGTTAGGAGTTGTGGCCAATTTAAGAAAAAGCAATTGCTTCTTGGACCAAGTGCTGGAAGTGCCAAGCAAGAGTTGTGTGTTTGGAGTTATTTTTGCTTTATCTTTTTACTTGAACTTTTACTTATTTAGATAAGATTTTATTATTAAAAAATGTGAAACTAGTAACTTCTGAAGTAAATTGCACTTTTTTCTGTATTTTATAATAGTTAAAATACAAGCTACTCACTTATTTCTGCAAGAAAGCCGAAGCCCAACCAAACAGTCCCAGGCAATGAGCTGAAAATGGATCAGTACGGTTATAAGTCAAAACAATTCACTCTTACTAGAAAATCGTACCACTCCTTTTGTTTCCTCTGACCGATTAAAACCGAGGTGGCATTAGTGTCTATATCTCGAAATATAATCTAATTCTAGTAGCTCAGTGGAGCATTGGCTGTAATGAAAGTTTGGAATGCAGAAAATTTCTTATTGCAAGTGTTCAAGTAGACTGGAAAGAAAAGGTCTATCATTATGTAGTTAGCTATGCTGACCAACAAGTTCTGTTTCTGTCCCACTCAAAAATTTCTCCCAATAAACCTCTACAGATGAATATGCCTTTGACAGCTACTGTTTGTAATTTTCCTCCGTAAGTATGATCTGGATGAGTGATTAGTAGAGCATGTCTAATTCAAGGCAAGGCTGTCCACTACTAATATTGGCACATGGCTATCTGAGCATTGTTGTGGGCTAGTTAGACAACACCTCGCTGGCTTCCTTGTGGGTGTGGGAGGGAAGTGGTTTCCCCTTAAATGTGCTATGGGGAAAGGGGAAATTTAGATTGCAGTACTTGGTCCGGTCTTCGACAAGTGTTCAGTGGGTAGGCTGGTCAAACGTAATACTCACTTTCCTAAATCAAATAAACTCATTGGAAGAAGTTTCAATGGGAAAAGTGCCTATGTGGCATCATTGATTGTACTTTTCAACACAATTTTGGGACTTAATGGCATTTTGTGATAAAGGTTTATAACTTAACTGAACTAATTGAAAGGTTTACAATTAGATTCCAATTTTTTGATAAAAACTTAAAACTTGATTGAATCAATTGAAAAGTTTTAATACTCTCCGTACATACAGTTCAGAACTTATCGGGCAATTTTTTCTCAATTTCAATAATTGAGGACCCTAATAATGAGGTACTTGGCTCAACATTAGGTTGAGGTGGAGTTACCATTTACCTATTTCTACCTCTAGAGTGGTGGAATCCACTCTATCAATACAATACCTAGTTTAAATAGAGTCCCGGGCCCATGTGAAAAGCTAGGTATGCTTGAAACAAATCAAAATCCAATTTGGCAACTTGGTTTGTTTTGGCATGACTAGCTGCAATCAACAGCTGCAGTTGCTAAGTAAAGCCCGATGGCTAAGAGTCATTTTATAAGCTGATTCTTAGGAAGTTCTTCATTAGAAAGTGTGTTTTGTTAGCATGACATGTTTACGACCATTGAAGACTCGGGTTTGTCTGTATGAAAAAAAGTAGTGTAAAATTGGTCATCTCAACTATTTTTGACAACTTTCAATTGAATACTTGGTAGTATTGGCTATACTTCTTCATATTGTTCGATTTCGTTTCATCAATAGGAATCAGAAGACTTGATAACTTAGTTATGTCTACTTGTGGTGCAGTTTGGTTCCCTCCGGTCTCTGTCATTCTTGGATTTTTAGGAACATTCTCGGTTTCCTAATGCACTTATCCACAAGATTTTCCTCCACTGTGTAGGCCATCCATGAAGATGAATATCATCTATATGAGCTTCACTAATTATGGACGGTGCAGTGTTTGTCTTGCAATCATCTTCTGGATAATTTGAGCATGATTCTTGCCCCATTTCAAACCTTTTTTGTTTGTGCACTGAGGTGGTTAAGCTTAGAGCCGTTAGGTGAACATTGTTACGGGATATTTTAATGGAAGTTGATCTGAGACGTTCTTGTGATGCATGAAGCTGCATTCTATTGAAGCAATGACTGTATTGTTCTACTAATTTGGATTCTTGGTAGACCAAACAGTACGGTGTGATTCTGAGTTTTTGTATTTTCATATTCTGTCAGCATGGTAACAGCTAAAATAGATGGGTGAAAAAGATTAGTTTCTTCCTGTGCTGGTTTTTCGGGGCTTGAGTTAACCGTTATTATCATGTTGATGTAAATATCGCAGTACTTTTTCAATAGCTCGTAAAATTACATTGCCTGTCACACATATTTGCAGAGAAACGCCTCATCGACTTACAACATACTGAATGAGGAAGGGAGGATAGTAGCTGCTGCATTGCTTCCATACGGAACAACTTCTTAAAGAAGTATCAAAGGCGATGAAACTTTTGTTCACTTGTAAACTTTCTCACTTTTTCTGATGTGCTTGATCTGTAAACCATTTTGCCAATTTGTTTGCAGATTCAGTGAAAGCATCATTGTAAAGGCGGATAAGGAGATCTGTTAGGAGATGAATTTATCACGGAATAAAAGTTAATATGTCCAATCTTCATGGTTCTATATTCGGTGCCGGTGCCTATTTCGTTTTTCTGGGTTCCGGCTTGGTATTAGTACTAATTCCGAGTTGTGGCCAACCCATGACAATTTCGCCTGTGAGCCAAATTCACCAGAGAGATTGCTAGTAGATTGGTAGAGTCGAGATAAACAGTTGTCTGGATTATTACGATCATTGATCATGTGAGATCCACGAGATCTAAATGAGGCGATAGAAATGGATTAGTTTAGATTGGAAGCAAGCCTAATTTGTGGCCAACCCATGAAAATTTCGCCCGAGCCTAATTAGTTTGTATAAAGATTGAGCCATGGGAGTTATATATACGTGACCAAAAAATATGAGTAAGATGATATAGGAAGAAGGCTTCCTGAAGTTAATGGTGCGCCTCAACAGTATGCAGAAAGAAGAGTTCCTAAACACTTGGCCGGCTACCCTTGCCGTCGCCCCGACCTCGGGCTCGATGGTTGGTGATGGTGTGCGGCCCTTGTTAACGCTAATGAAGCGACGCCCCGCCTCCAAACACACGCCGTCGCCCCGACCTCGGGCTTGATGGTTGGTGATGGTGTGCGGCCCTTGCTAACGCTAATGAAGCGACGCCCCGCCTCCAAACACACGCACCCACACTCTCTTCTAAATTTTCTCTTCTTTTTTATATTTTTGTCGAATGTCCTTAACGTGGCTAAACGGAGCCACGTCAACACGTCGGCAAAAATGGGTCTCACGCCTAAGTTGGATTGTCATGTCAGTTAGAAGTAACAAATCGTTTCAAACAAAAGAGTAGAATGACCAAATTGGTCAGAATGATAGTTCAATGACTAAATTAAACGTTAGCTAAGAGTTTAAAAATCAATTTTTACATTGCCCCGTTACAATAGAAATCTCAATTTCCCAAAATATTTTTTGTCGACAATGTACTACCATGCATTTGGTAGTGTGATCACCACAATAATCTACCTTGAAGCAGATCGAATTTGAATTCATTTAAGGCCTTGTTTTTACCACTCAAAATCGATAGATTTGTGCACATTAATTAAGAAAATAGCATACTAGGTCATGGAAAAATAAATTTTTAGTTCCAAAAATGCTAGAGGTGTATATGAAGACCCATATATGATTCTGGTTTTCGCAACATAGAATTTTATACACGTGTGGGGTTATTTCCACCCTATATAATTAAAAACTCCACATTTTCATTAAAAAGGGTAAAATTTATTTTGATCATCCAATTAAATTTTAAAGTTGTGACCCCAAACTTATTCACTTTCCCCTTTTCTTTTAGTTTTTCAATTTCCTTGGAAGATCTACCTGCTATTCTAAAGGATATCACTTGCTTTCATTCTTTCTTTTTTTGAATTTTGAAATGGGTATTACCATATACATTAAAAGAACTGAGTTTTCTTTTCTTTTTTTTGTTATCTTTAGATTTCTCTATATACATTAGCTTTATCGAAAAGAGAAACTTCAAAAAAATCTAACTTTTTCCACGTTTTCAACCAAATTTTATGGATTGATTATCAAGTAGAGTCCTAAAAAATTGGAACATAACAAACCTTTTACCACGAGATATTGTTGTGCATATCACCGTAAATCTTTCTTTCAGTTAGCTTTTAAATACACAAAATGGGATTTTTGGATTGAAAAGAAAAATGTTCTTGTTAGGATTTTCTTTCCAAAGTAAAATCACAATTACATTCCTCAAGGAGGATTTTTGAAAGATGAATTTTGATTAAATGAAAGCTTCGCACAAAATAAGGGAATTTTTTTTTTAGAATAAATTTCAGTCATTCTGAATTGACAAAAAAAAAATAATATCGTTCATGGAGCGTTTATGATAAATTATCTAAGTGTTTAAAGGTGCATAACTTTATATAATCATATTTATGTGCATTTTTAGATACTTTTATAACTTCTTACATGCTATACGTACAAAGGGTGTCATCTATTGTTGAAGAAAATCACTGATTATTTTTTTTTATTGAAGCCAAAATACGCGATATATTTTTTTTTTCCTTTGAGACTAATCAAATAGTAAATAATAAAGTCGCCACAAAAATGAGCTTTCGAGGAAGAAGTGAAGAAAAACGAGTAACGTCGCAATAGGAGCCATGATGAGGATGATGCTAATTTTTTTTTACTTTCTAAATGTCAATGAATCTAAATTCGAAGATAACCCATCATAGGACAATAACTAAATCGAAGGTAACCGTGCAAATACGGAAACGTTTAGTATCCTTTTGCCCATCTAGCGATTATTCATGTAGAGGTGAGAATAACCCGTCTTTATGTATAGACTTCTAGGCTTGATACTCTTCGAAAAAATTTCAAATCGGTAAATCCGTGTCATATTAACCCTAAAATCCGTCTCATATTAACCCATCTTCGTGTGTGTTTCCCTCGCGACACACACACGAAGGATCGATTTGGAACAAACTCAGTACGGATAAACCTATCGCTTCCCCCCGCGCCGCGATCCCCACGAAATCTCACGTGATATGAATCCCTATTCTCTTGGTTAATCGGAATTTTTTTTTTCCCTCTAAAGGCGCGTACGGCCGTCCGATCCAAAAAAATCCAACGGCGTCTAGGGGCGCTCCAGATCCATCGCGAGCCCCCCCTTCCCACACTCGATCGCGACTCCGCCACAAACAGAAGTCTCCCTCGCCCCTCATCTCTCAGTCTCTACAGAAGAAGGAGAAGGAGGAGGAGAAGATCGAGCTCCATCGTCTTCATCATCGTCATCATCGTCTTCATCATCTGGGGCAAGAGGGAGGAGGGAGGCGATGGGGAAGGACGAGGAGGAGATGAGGGGGGAGATGGAGGAGAGGCTGATAAACGAGGAGTACAAGATATGGAAGAAGAACACGCCGTTCCTCTACGACCTGGTCATCACCCACGCCCTCGAGTGGCCCTCCCTCACCGTCGAGTGGCTCCCCGACCGGGAGGAGCCACCCGGCAAGGACCACTCCGTCCAGAAGCTCGTCCTCGGCACCCACACCTCCGAGAACGAGCCCAACTACCTCATGCTCGCCCAGGTCCAGCTCCCCCTCGACGACGCCGAGAACGACGCCCGCCACTACGACGACGACCGCCCCGACGTCGGCGGCTTCGGCTGCGCCAACGGCAAGGTCTTGAATATGATTTTTGGACCCTCCTCCCTCCTCTTGTTGTTTTTGCTGTTGGTTCTTGTTGCATTATGCTCGATTTCATGAGTTCGGGTGGTGTAATTGAGGGGGGGGGGGGCCTTCTCGCGCGTGAAGCCCGCGAATTTTCTGGGTTGGAGGAGGAGGCAGCTGTGCCTCTTTTTTTTTGGGGCTTTTAGTTTTGGTGCGCTTCTTTTCATGTGTCTTGACATCGATTTTTCCCCACTTCGTGCGGTGCTGCTGTATGTGAAATAGGAAGGTGGAAAGATTTGGGACGGGGAGGGGAATTCTGTCCGTCTTGTCTTGTCTGTAATGTCTGTTCCGTCGGTCTTTTTGGCCCGAGGAATGTGCATCTGTCCGGGTAGTACAGAAAACGCGAATAGATGTATGTTTGTGTTTGTGTGTGCTTAAGGAAGATTACTTCCCGAAGGTTGAAATGATTGCCTACCTGCATTCTCTGCATAGTTTTGCCAGGAAAAAAAGAGAAAATTTAGCTCGAAACTGCTTGGATTCGTTTGAAGCTTCTTTGTCTCTCGGGCTTTGTCCATCCGCATCGATGGTTTTGCCGATCTGTCTAATTTTGTCATTCTGTCCTTTTTCATTTGCATTGTTCCAACTGGAATTTACGTCTTGCCTTCCAATGTTTTCCTTGCATGAAACAGTGCACTTTAATGAGCTTTAAGCTTAGATGTTGCAATATATAGTTTATACATCTTTTAGTGCTCTTTGAGTTTAAGGAGGCGTGACTGAGAATGCTCAAGATATTGCCGCCCAGGTGTACTCTGGATCACCAGCCAACTTACTGGAGTTTGGGAGTGAAAGGGATAAAATGGAATTCTAGAGGTTTTTAGGTCGGAACGGTGTAGATTGAGATGATGTCTCTAAGTAAGTGTAATCTCGTCATATTTACCTGAAAGGGGCAGGTTAGGAGAAATGTATGCTTCTGTTGTTGCTTTGTCAATTCAAGATATCCTTTAATAAAATCAGGAGTGAGGTGGTGTTTCTAAAAAAAGGTATGATGGCATCGGTAGCAAAGACGTGGTTCCTTCTTTGTAATGCTTCGTGTAGGGTTTATAGACTGAGGATTGCTACGATGGATTTAGAAGTAATGATTTGATGTTAGATCGGCTGAAGCTGGAGTTATGAAGCCTGTCTTTGCTAATGAATTGGTAATGAAACTCTGGCCTAGATGGTTTTGTGGATCTGGCTTTCCTTTAATAAGAGGAAGTGATGGGGTAATGTTGAAGAATGTGATCATCGGTTGATACTAAACGTTACCTCCTTGAATTCGAAGAAAGTTGGACCTTTTAATATGAGGGATGATAGGCCTATCGTGTTTAGCCGGGTTAGTCTATAAATTGTTGATGAAATGATGGCGTGAAAACTATAATGAGGTGACTTTTTGTCAAAATGCTTTAGCAAATGAGTGTTGTGATCGTGCACGAGTGCAAATGTGCCCCGGACATTTGAAGCGGTCTCAGATTAATGAAATTCTGCAAAAAATGCAAGTCATGCATCCCGTAGGCTTCCTGTATTGAATTCATCATAATAGGTAGCATCATAAATTGTCCATATGCTATTCTGACACATGTACATCTCAGCACTCGGAAATTGTCTTTAGCCTTTAAGTCTTATTCGTCCGTGGGTTCTGCATTTCGTAATACTTCATCATGCCTTTTAGCAGTTATTGCTTTGTCTACTGCGCCAGCTTAGCGATTCTCTTCACTGGAAGCATTCCAATTTTGTGAGAAGATTGATGATTCATGATATACAGGGAAAAGTCCTGTGGTGCGTTAATACCACTTACACTTTGTTTTTGGCAGGTTCAAATTATACAGCAAATAAATCATGACGGAGAGGTGAACCGAGCCCGTTACATGCCACAAAACTCCTTTATCATAGCAACCAAGACGGTCAGTGCAGAAGTTTATGTTTTTGATTACAGCAAGCACCCATCTAAGCCTCCACTAGATGGTGCATGCAGTCCTGACTTAAGGTTGAGGGGCCACAGTACTGAAGGCTATGGATTATCTTGGAGCAAGTTCAAGCAAGGACATCTACTCAGTGGTTCAGACGATGCTCAGATATGCTTATGGGACATCAATGCAACTCCTAAAAACAAGTCTCTCGATGCCATGCTAACCTTCAAGGTGCCTTTCTTGCCTACACCTAGCACTATCTATCCATCTTAAGCTCCTCTGTGCCAGTTTAGTTTTTCTAGCCTGCTGGCAAGTTATTCTGAGCTAAATCATAAGGCTGGTCAAACACTCCATGCCTCAAACGTCCACTAGTTCAATGAGGAGTTACCTGAATTTAGTTGCATGTTCTATGTATGATTCTTGTTTGTTGGTGTGATTCAGGTTCATGAAGGTGTTGTTGAAGATGTAGCATGGCATCTCAGACATGAATATTTATTTGGTTCAGTCGGGGATGATCAATACCTGCTAATATGGGATCTACGGACTCCATCAGCTAGCAAGCCTGTCCAATCTGTAATTGCTCATCAGAGTGAGGTAGGTGTCAAGCACTTTGAGCTTTTAATAACACGTTCGATGAGACACTGCAAAACCAAGAAAACGATATCCCAATTGTCTGGCACATTTGTGAATAGCATTAACTATATTTTGTCTCTTTGCTTTGAATTGTCACATTGGAGAATGTTCCGTCATTTTGGGGCACTGATCACCTAAATCGCAAGTTACTGTGCAAAAATAGTTTCTAGAAGTTGTTCATTAATTATGGTTGGCTTCATATGTTTAGGTTAATTATAAATGGTTCTACTATAATAAATCAAAGAGAAAATATTTAAACAAAAAAATTCATTGAGTATTATGTTGTTCGAGAACTAGAAGTGGAAAAATTAGGCTCCTTGCCAGAAAACTAATGCATTATATGAGCAAGAAAGAAATAATAATTTAAAAGAATCATAGTGAAAAAAAATTTTCAGACTGTTTATTACACTGAGGTTAATTAACCCACCATATGCAAGAAACCCCCGAGTAACCATGGTTCTGATGCTAGTTTACCTTAAACTTGGAAGGAGAAATCAAAATTATGTGCTTCATCCTGAGTTGTTCGGAAAGAAGATGATGTCACCAATCATGATCTCACTTGATCCAGAAATTATTCATTTAAATTCAGATTCCAGACTTTTGCCATTTGCTTGAGGAACAATGTAGGCACATCATAAAGTACCAGATTTATGCTTAGCCATGACATTCCAGATCCTCTTTTATGAGTTCCCTAGGAAATCAAGAAGCTTTGTAAATGAAAAAAGCTTATTAACTTTTCTCGTTTCTACCAGAATCAAGCGGTGGGCTATTCAGTTGCATGCTAGAAATTCTATTGTCCGTGTGATTTATTTGTTTTCCGTTGACATACAATCTGCCTGAAAATATTCTAGTCTTCAATTGGTTTAGCAAATTTGCCCTTTCTTGTTTTTGTGATAGGTGCTAGGCCATGAGAAATTACTAGTTCTTTAAGTTCTAGAGCTCACTTGAGTGTTTTCACTACCAGTATCAAGTCATAGGTATCCATCTTGATATGTGTATATTTATTTGTATGATTCATGTAACATTTTCGATCTATCCTGCTTGTTTACAGAACTTTTTTTATTTGGTTTGAGTTGGACATTTTCTATCTCAGCCCTTTTTCTACTGAAGTGTGGTATTTCCACAATATGTAATGACATGATTTTGTTATCCATGGTTCAATGTAGGTTAACTGTTTAGCATTCAACCCCTTTAATGAATGGGTTGTTGCGACAGGTTCTACAGATAAGACTGTTAAGTTATTTGATCTACGCAAGATCAGCACTGCACTTCACACCTTTGACGCTCACAAGTAAGAGCATGTTTCTTTGTTTACTAAAATCCCCGTTTTTGTTTTATAGATGTTATTGGAAGAAGCTTTAAAAAGTTGATTTATTTATAATCGTTTGCTGCCTGATGGATTACATTAAGAAAACATATTGGTTTCAGGGAAGAAGTTTTCCAAGTTGGGTGGAATCCGAAGAATGAGACAATCCTAGCTTCATGCTGCCTTGGTAGACGACTTATGGTGTGGGATCTTAGCAGGTTTGTAGCTTAGTTTTATAGTTTCTACATTTTTCTTTCAGGTTGTATTGTAGGTTTTTCTTACCGGTGCAAGCGAAATAGCAGTGTTGTTTGAGGATTTTTCTATTAGCTTTGATTTGAAATCACACATCTCAAGTTTGTCCTTCCTTTGTCATTGGAGTTCATTTGGGTGCCCTGCAAGGATTGATCATGGAAGACTTCCAAATAAAAATGAATCTGACACAACATTGAATGACCTCATGATATTTATCATGAATGCACAATTTTAGAATCTTCTCAAATTTTCCTATATTGATTATGAGTAGAAGAAATTATTTAAGATGATAATTGCTTCGCACATTTGCGACTATGCTTGTAGTGAAGGGTTATTATGATAAAAAGAGACGTGTAACAATTGCCAAAATGCATATTGTGGTGATTCTATTTCAGGATTGATGAAGAGCAGACGCCAGAGGATGCTGAAGATGGACCACCCGAGTTGCTCTTCATTCATGGTGGCCATACAAGTAAAATTTCGGACTTTTCATGGAACCCGTGTGAAGACTGGGTCGTAGCCAGCGTGGCTGAGGACAACATCCTTCAAATATGGCAGATGGCCGAGAATATCTACCATGATGAGGATGATGTTCCTGGAGAAGAGTCCAATAAAGGATCCTGACCTAATCATTAACAATTCAGAAGTCCAGGTGAAAGCTGCAGTAACTTGAAGCCCTATTTGTTTTAACTTGTTCCATGCCCTTACCTGTACCTACGCGCGCCATTATCTTTTGATCTTGCAATGCTGTGCTAGATAATGAGTTTTTCCCGTCTTTAGAATTGCCATCTGTAAAGGATTCACTTCTGTTTTTAATTATTTTGTGAACTCCTAGTGTTAAGGGTTTCGTTGCAGCCCGAAATGTTTTCTTGCATTTGATAGAGTTGCTGCACTATCCTTAATCAAAGATTCCTTGGTAGTTCTTGCATTTGAGCATCTACTTCTTCTTTATTGTTTACTCGTTTGACTTTTTGTGTTGATATTGAGAATATATTTGTGAATTTAGCCATCCTTATTGCCACCGAACCATAACATGCCGCAAAGTTGGCTCCTACTTGTTCTCATCAATAAGAGGAAGGGTTGAATGAAAAGATAATCTGGCTGTCTAATTGATGCAATTGCGGAAGCCAGTTGACTGATGCTTTCCTATTCATTTGTTTAACGGGGAGGTTCGAGTCACTGCCAATCGAAATTAGCAATTTTTTGCTCTGATACGTGGGTTTTAAGCAAATTCAGTTCCTACACAGCCTAAGTAGTACTGACGCGTGGCACGACTAGATACGTCGACATGTTATTTTTCAAAAAATAGAGAATTTCGATACATTATGATACATGTTATTTTTCAAAAAATAAAAAATTTCGATACATTAGTATACATATATTAAATGTATATATATATGATGAATTATCATTTTTATGATTATTTCAATCAAATTAATTTGATTCAAATACATAAATAAACAAATAATAAAAAAAGAGTGTCGAACGAGTGTTGATATCCAATACGTCCGACACGTGTCTACGATACCATATGTCCGACGCGTGTCTGACACCAATCCAAGGACCGGACACGAAGACTCTCGGAGAGTGTGCGTGCTTCCTAGAACACAGCAACAATAGTGAATTTTTTAATCTCGAGGAACAATCCATTGACTATCAAGCTCAAGGTGTTGATAGTTGATACTTTGTGCTCCTACAATGAAGTACATCATGAAATGATAACTACGTCCCTTCTGCTTATTGCCGGGCAAGACCATGTAGATCGTCGTTCCGCTAAATTGATAGCTCAATTTTTGAATAGGAGATAGAAAGATGATTTTTAGGTGGATGCGCAAGAAACCAATTACAATATAAGCAAAAACAGATGTGGGTGGGTGTGCACCCAAAAATTTGTTCAACTCTTTCGAGCAGGCAATAAAAAGAACTGAAGGGATATTTTCACAACCATGACGACATATAAGCTCCCTGGTTTGAGTTGTCAATGAAGTCCGAGTCATGCGGAGAATAAATCGTTATACTACGCCTTGCTGAACTGATAGTCCAATCTTTTTGAATAGGAGATAGAAAGAAGATCTTCAGGCGGATTCGCCAGAAACCAGTTATGACATGAGCAAAAACAGATATGGGTGTGCACCAAAAAATTTGTTCAACTCTTTTGGGGAGGCAATAAAAAAGAACTAAAGGAAGATTTTCACAACCATGACGACATATGAGCTCCCTGGTTTGAGTTGTCGATGAAGTCTAAGTCATGCAGAGTCTAGATCGTTATATTACGTTATGCTGAATTAATAGCTTAATATTTTTGAATAGGAGATAGAAAGATGATTTTTAGGCGGATTCGCAAGAAACCAATTATGACATAAAGCAAAAACAGATGTGGGTGTGCACCAAAAAAATTGTTCAACTCTTTCGGGCAGGCGATAAAAAGAACTAAAGGGAGTTTGTCGACGAACTCTGAGTTATGTAAAGTGTAGATCGTTATATAACGTTTTGCTGAACTGATTTCTTAGTCTTTTTAAATAGGTGATAGAAAGATGATCTTTAGGCGGATTCGCAAGAAACCAATTAGGACATAAGCAAAAACAGATGTGGGTACGCACCAAAAAATTTGTTCAACTCTTTGGGGCAGGCGATAAAAATAACTAAAGGGAGATTTTCTCAACCATGACGCATATAAGCTCCCTGGTTTGAGTTGTCTATGAAATCTGAGTCATGCAGAGTGTAGATCGTTATATTACGTTCCGTTGAATTGATAGCTCAATCTTTTTTAATAGGAAATAGAAAGATGATCTTCAGGTGGATTTGCAAGAAACCAATTACGACATAAGCAAAAACAAAGGTGGATGCACACTAAACAATTTGTTCAGCTCTTTCAGGCAGGTGATAAAAAGAACTAAAGGGAGATTTTCATAACCATACCGACATATAATGTTCCTAGTTTGAGTTGTCAATGAAGTATGAGTCATGCAGAGCAAGCTCGGACACTCTGTCCATCATCATAGCAGCAGTTTTCAGGCTAACAGAAGCAGCAGTTGAATATTTTTTGTTAGTATTAGTAATATAACATTATCATCACAACAGAAGCTGTTTTCAGACTAAAATGCGGGAAGGGTACTTCACTTTCATACCGCTAACAACGATTTCAATCATCAAACTCAAACATAGAAAGGAAGGAAACATGTGATTTTACATCCCATTTGCTTGACCAATCTTCCTCGATTTAAGGGTTTGCTGTTCTCCAGTGAATTTCAAGATTCTTGGTAATGCTGCCACGACATTTGGATCTCAGCCATACACTGAAAAGAAGACATTCAGAGCTGGCAAACCCCCGATAGTTTAGAGACTTGAGCTGCAACATTTGGCCCCATCCAATGACCAAGTTAGCCGAACCACATCCGTCAACGCAAATGAAATTTTGCACAGACTAGTCACCATTGAGGAGTCGATCGGCGGTACTTCGACAATCTTCGTTCGCTTCATTCTGATATCTTCCACTGTCTGCACTCTCTTTAGTCTCCCTCTTCATAAACTGGAAGCCCATTATATACCTGTATTCTCCAGTGCCAAGGCATCGCGAGCAGTATTCAAGGCCACTACCACCACATGTCCGGCACCTGCCAGGCAATCTGGTGAATCTTAGACCAATGCTATTTGCACAGTTACAATTAGAAAAACTGTGCTCATTCATCAGTCACGACAAGTAAATGGTCATACAGAATGGAGGAGTTGGATACCTCACCATTTTGGCCACTCCCCTCTTGGAAGCATCTTCAAGTGAACATGATTTGTCCTTCCTATAACATTATAAAAGCACGAGCCCAGAAAATCAGGATAACTCAGCCCAGCCAAAATAAAATAAGACGGCCATACAAAAAAAACCAGAACCAGAACCAGAATAGATGCAGAATAAGCAAGGCGACAAAAGGTGAAATTTCAGGCAAGGCATGGCGACACAGTGTGCATATTGTTATGGAACAAGCAGCAGCATCAAAGCAGACCACTGTGATTACAACAAAACCTACTAATACAGACTCTTATGTGGGGATGAAGGCAACAGGCATAAGCCTAGTGGCCTCTTTGCTCGGAAAAGAGTAGGCTATCAGCACTTGACCATATACGGAGCTTCACCCTCTTGTCAAGCCACCATAAGTTATGGTCCATGACTCACAAGTCTGAACCGGATCACTAGTAATGCAATGGGCTAACTTCAACACAATAGGTAGCAGAAGCTTTCGCGTTTTTCACTATCCAACCTAGAGAGATATTTTCTCCTGTCCTAGATACGACAAGTCTGAAGTTAATAGCTACCAATACCGAGAAGAGACAACTATACGTAATCTCTCTTGCAAGAACAATGCATAAGGTCAATCTATCCTCTCGCAATTGGAAACTAATGAAGTTCGTCCCCACGACATAGCTATAAGAAAACACCTGCAACAGCATTGCAATGCGCAGATCTCTCACAAACAACATTTCTGTTCTGATCAAGACCTCGACGCAAGCTAGCGTTACTTTATAAAAAAATTTACAAACTCCAGCCATTAATTGCAGCATTACTCCAAGTAGATTAGATTTAGGATAGAGACTCTATCTATGAACAAGGAGGAGCTCCCGCAACTAATTACCAAGACCAAACTGCAAGAATGTTTTACACACAATAGAATAAAGAGATTGACTACTGGTAGCAGGAAAGAAACTCAGCGAGCACATTCAACAGCTGATTGTTCATTCAAACAGTGAAGGGGGATAAAACAAGGGATCTGGTCATTGTATTATGCTCTTCTCTTTTCTCTTTCCTTCTTTTTTCCTTTTAAGGTTACAACATGAACATGTATGACTTGGTCCTACAGATTCTGTCATCAGAACCAACATTTCGCCCGACGATACACATCCAACGACAAACCCGAGGGAGGCCGGCAGTAGTCGCCTGCTCCCGGACCCCAGGTACCCCATGCAATAGTAATTACTTACAACAAGTTAGCAAATTTCACCAATAATCCGAGCTGATATTGAACAAAACCATCTGGGTTTGCCACCGAGAGAGAGAAAGAGAGAGAGAGAAACCTTTTCCGCGGCAACGGTGACAATCAATCCTTCCACTCCCATGGCAGACAACGCAAGGGGGTTCTGGCTTCTTCCGAACCTCCCTATGCACATTCGACTGCGATTACATCCGCCGCACACAACCATGAAATGCGAGAATCAGTGTGAATTTCTGGGCAGGAAATCCGGAACGCGTCGTGCGAAGAGTGTTAGCTCAACAGATAAAAAAGAAGAAGACTTGCCTCCGTCCTGACAACCCAAGAAGGCTTAGAGAGAGAAAGCGCGGGCCTTTGGAGGCTGGTGGCGGGAAGTGGGATTCCGCCATTACCGTCCGGGGGAGCCTTCTTCGCCTCCAGCCGAACGGCTGGAAGAAGAAGGACGGGCTTCGCCATCGCCATTTTTCTCCAATCTTCTTCTCTTCCTTCAAGCTCGGGGCTTTACGCTTCTCCAGCAGTGGTCTTCGATATGCCTGTCTTCCAGGACAGGAGAGAGAGAGGAGGAAAGAGAACGTAGCAGAATGTTTTCATTTGGGGGCCAAATTCCATAAAACCCAATTTTAACCTTTGTCCCAATTATATCCCAAACTTTTTTTTCTCATAAACCCCAAACTTTACTTTTGTCCCAAATCTACCGTTTACTATTCATCTAATTTTTAATATTATTTTTCGAATTTTTTCTTTTTCTTTTCTTTTCTTTTCTTTTTTCACCCTCAACCTCCGGCCGGTCGCGCCGGACCGCTGACCGGCCAGAGGCGAGGGCCGGCGAGGCTCGGCCCCGCCGGCTGCCGGCAGGCTCGGCCTCGCCGTTGCTGGGCGAGGCCGACCTCGCCGGCGACCGGCGGGGCCGACCTCGCCGGCGACCGAGCGGGGCCGAGCCTCGCCAGATCTGGGAGGCTCGGCCCGCGGGCAGCCCGGCGAGGCTCGGCCTCGCCGTTGCTGGCGAGGCCGAGCCTCGCCGGCTGCCGGCGGGGCCGACCTCGCCGGGCACCGGCGGGGCCGAGCCTCGCCAGATCGGCGAGGCTCGGCCCAGCGGGCCGGCGAGGTCAGTCCTCGCCCGATAACGGCGAGGCCAGTCTCGCCAAGCAGCGGCGTGGGCAAGCCTCGCCGGCCCGCCTCGGCCGGTCAGCCGGCCGGCGACCGGCCGGAGGTTGAGGGTGAAAAAAGAAAAGAAAAAAGAAAAAAATTCGAAAAATAATATTAAAAATTAGATGAATAGTAAACGGGTAGATTTGGGACAAAAGTAAAAGTTTGGGGTTTTACGAGCAAAAAAGTTTGGGATATAATGGGACAAAGGTTAAAGTTTGGGGTTTTTATGGAATTGGGCCTCTCATTTGGGTGATGTTAAAATCGACCCGAAACTTTTAGTTAGTATTCAATATGGTACTTGGATTTTAATTTTGGTCAGTTTGATCCATTCTACTCAAACTAATTTAATCCTCGCCGGCTACTGTAGTTCGGGCCTGGCGTCGAGGGACCTCGTCCCAGCCACTGTGGACCTTGGCTCGGCTTCCGGGCGTAGCCACAATGGACTTGGGTCGAGCATCAGTGAATTGGGCACGGGAGTCGTGCCCGAGCATGGCCTCAAGGGACTCGGGCTTGACCTCTACAGATATGAGCTTGTTGCCGAGGAGCTAGGCCCAATCTCTAGGCACCCGGACCTACCCTCTGTGGAGCCAAGCATAGGTAGCTTGAGGGACCTGGGCTCTCTCTCTCTCTGAACTTGGGTCCGATCACCGAGGGACTAGGCGTGGCTTCGATGAACCCAAGTTGGCCTCGATAGACCTAGGCCAAGTGTAGTGACTTCGGCTTGGGAGCTTGGTACCAAGGCATGGCCGTAAGGGGATCCATGCATGGGCACCGAAGTCTCAAGCCCGACCTCCATGCACCTGGGCACAAGCATCGATGCTCGAGCCTGTGCTCAAGAGACATAGCCCCAACCTTTATGGACTTGGACCTAGCCATCGAAAACTCAGGCCCGTCTCAATGGACCTAGGTTAGGTGCCAGTGACCTGGGCGTGGGAATTGAGTACCCAGATGTGGCCACTAGGAATCAAGGCAAGGGCACAGGCATGCCCTTTGTGGACCCAATCATTGGCACGTGAAGGGTATTGCCCTTTGATTAAATGGGTTGAAACTGGATTATTTACAAATCTATTAGAACTCATCATTAATTAGGTTTTTCTTTATTAAACTCATTTTAACGCATATTTAATGTGTTTAAGATCCATTTTGCCTTCTCTAAATATGGGTAAAATCGGTGTCTTGACTAGAAGTGCAGAGGAGATTCGAGCGAATTACTGCAAGTTCATTGACAGCTAATTAAAAGAGCATGTATATTATGCAAGAGTTTTTTTTTTCTGCATCTCTATTTTATGTTTTTTCCTTGTATTGCTATAGTTACAAAGTTGTGGGATTTTCAAATAATAAGGTGATCATGCATTAGCTTTTCTTCTTTATTGCCTTTGACTAATGCGCACTTTTACTATACTCCAATCTCATTTCCACTACCTATTCCTCTTTTACGAGGGCGAGCCTCACAATCAATTGATCCAAGAAAATTAAATTGCATTTGCCTGCATGCGGGAATCTAATCGAATTTCTACTGTGATGTTCATTAGAATGTTTATGTCCATTATTAACAGTCAATAATATGATAGAAAATACATATATACATATGTCAAGAGAAACGTTTCATAAAGAATTTCCGGACCAAGAAAAACAAGCAAATATACATGTGCACTTTATATAAACGAAACAACTAATATCAAATTTGAATGTTAGTTTCAAACACTCACTTATGCACGCCAGGTGCGCATCATATGCACGTCGCTCGCACCCATACACGTGTGCTCTCCTACATGGACGCGAAATTGACTACTCATGTTTCTATGTCAATAGAGTGTCTTTTAAATTAAATTGATCAAACAGCTCTAATCTTAAAAAAGTCAGACCGTTAAATGTCTTGGGCAAAAATATAAACATTATTAGTAACATTATCCCATGTAAAGAATGTCACTTTACAAGGGCTTCAAACTCTGCAGAAAAAATGGATCAATCACAAAAATAGATTGATATCACCTTAACTTCCTAGGAGAAAATGAACCTTTTAAACAGGATGTTGCAACCAAATGCCTGGTTGAGGCTACCCAAATATTGCCTTTACTTGTATGAATGATATGCACTTTCAGTCTCAGTGATTACACTTTGCAACATGAGGATTGAGGAACCTAAATACTTACTCAGCTGCAACAGGGAGAGAGATACATGGCTGGGACTAATCATACAATAGGGCTCTGCTTTTCTTGAGAGAGAGAGTTACATGGCTGGGACTAATCATACAAGAGGACTCTGCTTTCCTTTTATTTATCTATACATTTCAATCACCAAAACCATCAAGAGTCAAAATTTTCTTGCCTTTCAGAAAAATGAAAGGGCCCTGAATTAATTTCTTTCAGTGTGAGAGCATCTCTTTAGACATTCTGTGCGGCTGAAATCCTCCTTGGACATACTCAAAATGCCTGACTGCTTATCGACATTCTCAATGAGAAGCTTCAACAGAGGGAGCTTCGATAGCGTGCCAAGCGACCCCACCATAATCAACTTTTTCTACACAGACAGTAAATGGCACAAGTGAGATTGCTAGGAATATCAACAGGAGTATCAGAGCGATGTTCTTTATTCCTCATTTAACAGGGAGAGGGATGTTGCACACACAAGAACACGCTTCCACACAGACAAACTTATAGATGATTTAATTCACCTTACCGAGTTGATAAAACATGGACATGAGGTTGATGACTGTTAATGTACTAGGTCAATTACATCTCTTGCCAAATTCATCGTTACCCACTTGTTAGAACATGAGCAAGTATTTGTATACTCTTGAACGAAGATAGAGTAAAAACAGCTTAGGGTCAGGAGATTCTCAAAAAAGGATGTAACCAGCAGGCTAAACTTCCATATATTTTGCAAACTTAATGCTTGTTGCCAGACATTTGAAACATGTGAAACTAGTAGATGAAGTGTTAATTACGAGGTGATCCCAGCAAATTATGCATTTTTTCCTCCGTTTTTTAACACTTCAATGTGCTAAAACTAGATTAAAACATAAAAGAAAGTGAAAGCCGTATTTATTCTCCCTCAGATGTACAAGAATCTGGCGAAGGACAACTACAAAATTGTCAGAGTCTGAAAAGTTATTGAAGAAAAAAACTCAACTGAGTTTTCCACCACTACTAGTATATTCTAATGTATCTAATTTACATAAATTACTACTATAAGGACGATGAGGGGAAAGGGTTGCCATTCCCATGCTGCAGGAAGTAAACATATCTACTTAGAAAATCAACTAAACAGGTTTTGAGTATCATTAGTAAATGTTGAAGCCGGATGTTGAAAAAACAATCCTATGATTCTAGCCAAGTTTTGGGAGGACCAGATTTTAACACCCAACGCTTTTGAAGTATAATGGCATGGTTTGCTTACCTTGGCACGCGTAAGAGCCACATTGATCCTATGCCAATCACCAAGTAGTGAGGAGTTACAATGATTCCCCTCTTTGTTAGACCTCACAAAGGAAACAATTATGCAATCTTTATCTCGTCCCTGGACAAGCACCATAACAGAAGGCTCAGTGTTAAAATTACACTCATTCCCAACAAAATTAGAAAAAAAACAAGAAAATAGGCACAGTAAGAGAGGCTCAGTGTGAAAATTATATCCATTCCAAAGAAAATTACAAAAAGAAAATAAAGAAAAACAGAGAGAGAAAACAGAGGAAAAGTGAGCATCGAGGTTAAAAAAATGGACATTTGAGAAGCCAGATTTGCATAATGAAAAAGAGATTGTTAAAGAGTGCCGTTGCAGCAGTCATCAAGGCTCAAGAACATACATTGGAATTGTTATCGTATTTGAAGGAGGTGGTTCTCCTGTTATCCTATTGTAAATTCGAATGCGTTACCGGCCAAACATTTATGATTTGTTGAACATTAGGAAAATCGAATGCATGTTCTTAACTTGGTCAAGAATGTACAGTTGTTTATACTGGCATCTGTAAAGATATAAAATATATCCGTGCCGCACTCTAACAACTTAAATTGAAGTAAAAAATTGTGGATTTAACTTCTATATTCATCGTTTCTTTTTTTTTTTTTTACCAGTAAGGCCATTCATCCGAAAATGCAATTAAAAGTCAGTGAACTAGCAAGTGCATCAAAAATTTCACATCTACTACTATAAAGGACCACCAAATCTTCTCTGCCAATTGGAGTGTGGCATTCTCCTTTTGAGCTTAGAACTGGTATTTTCTGGATATCTAAATTTACCTCAATTCCTGAAATCTTGTAGATTCACTTCTCTGTAATGTTAAAAAGAGACTTTTCATGTTTATATTGAGCCTAACCTGGTATTTATCAATGGTGTGAATCTCCACAGAGGTTCCACAAACAGCATTTCGGATGAGATCTGCCTGGGAGTTATAAGGAGTAATGATGCCAATGTCTTC